TGAAGGAGCGATCAGCAACAGTAATAACCAGCAACAACCAGTAAACAGAACACCCAGTGACAGATTTGAAAACCAACAGGGTTCCAACACACTCAATGAAACAGCACCCACACCAACCAACGCAGACCAGAAATAACAAACTCAACAACCACTTAAAACCTCAGTGAAAACCCAGAAATAACCACCCTGTTTTTTACTCTCAAATTACTGAACTTTTAAATGTTAAAAATCCAGCCTAGACTCTCTGAAAAAAAGACTGAAAGAGAACTGATTTTCTTTCTCCAAAAACCAGCCCTCTGTGTAAAACCTGTACTGTGTAAAACATATCCTCTCCAGATTTTTCAGAAAATCCTCTTATCCTCTCTAAAAAAACTCCCATTTACTGCCTATTAATGACTCTATTTATAATCCAAAACAGGTATGGACAACATATTTTAATCAATCGTTTTTTAATCTTTTCATACCATTATGTTTTGTTCTCCACTCTTGCATGCCTTGTTCCCCACTATATTAAACAAATGTATTAGTTCCTACTACCACATGTCTTGTCCCCCACTATATATTAAACAATGTATTATTTTAATATTATTAGTACTTAGTGGACAGAGCACTCAAATTAATCATTTTTTAAAACTTAAAATCCCGAAAATGCCCCTGAAACTACTGAAATTACCATTCTACCCCATCAACTATATCCAATCCTCCAAAGTCAATTAACCAAACTTTAGCAGCTATAACCAATCTTAATTGAGAAATCCTAACAATTGACTGATTCAAACACATGAAACTAACTCCCAATCAATGACATTAAGATTCATCAAACTTAAATCACAATTTAAGCTTGAAACTTAATTCAGACCAAATATCATCAAAATAAAGATTTAGTGATTAAACTAACACACTTCTAGATTAAACCTAAACAAAACAAATGAACACTGTCAATATACTGGATGAAAACAAACTGATTTGATATGCAAGAAATGATGAACAACGACAAGAAAAGAAACAACATAACATAACCAAGAAAAGACAGAAACTAGAAGGAGGCAAGATAATTGAACCAAATAAGAAGAACGGCAGATTCATGAATTTGTACTGCTGCTCACTACGTTCGATCATGGAAACACGCAGCTCATTGATATCAGTTTAACCAAAAAATACAAGATGAAAAGCAAAAGGAAATGGACCTTCAGTGTTGCCAAAAAATGGATTTTCCCAAGTGATTGAACACAGAAAACTCTTTGAGAAGAGTTGTACAGCAAAGGCAACCAACGAACAAAAGCTTCAAGCTAATGTTCCAAGAAACTCGAGCAAATCTGGAAGGTCATAACACCAAGTTATTTTTTCCTTTCTAATTCTAATATACTACTCCTATTGAGTATTATTATAGTTGAAAGCCAATTCAAGGGAAACTATTACTATCATTATCATCCAGTGAAGTTCTTAGATATCAATTCCAGCAAATTACAACGATAGAAAACAAATAAAAGCAAGAAACACAAAACCCAAAATTCAAGACTAAATCAAAATCATAATACAAATAGTCAATGGCAATAAGAGCAGGAATTGAGGCGAAGTGAATATAACACAATGCAGAAAATACCAATTCAAGAAGGATATGAACTTGACTGCTTTCGAACCACATTAATGAAGCAAAACTCGGACAGACCTGACCGGGAACCTCGACGAAATAAACTCGACTCTTCAGCGATGATTGAAATCGGATCGGACTGAACTCAACAATGAGTTAGACAGTCAACAACTGCAAATTTTCGACCTCAACAGCTTTTGGGAACCGATCGCGACTGAGGTTTTCGAATGGCAGAACGAAAGTGAGAGTTAGCTAACCATATCAGTCGCTTCTGTCCGTCTTTTCTTTTAGTGTATTCGTCGCCGCCGGTTATTGTGAGAGATGGGAGCTCCGTTTGGTTTCTGTTGAGAATATGAAAGGCGGTGTTTCATGGTGGTTTCAAGCCATGGTTTCTGGTTTGCCAGACTCCGACGGAGGTGGTGGCTGTGGTCGTTTGGACTGAACAATGTCGTCGGAGGTGGTCGTTGGTGCGTGTGCACATTTCAGGCGAGTTCAGTGGTGAAGGGAGGAATGGTCATTCGTTTGGTTCAGAAATGGCTGGAAAGGAAGCTCAAGATCGGGGGTCTTCGATGGTGTCTCCTCTAATGGAGGTCCTGGTTGTAAAAATGAAGAAGCAACATAACGGATGGGGTCTCATTTTGGATGTTCAGCCGCTGGTTCGTTTTGGGTGTTGAAGGGGTCGTTTGGGGAAGATGAAGACGGGAGGGCAGTCATGGAGGGTGGTCGTTTGGACGACAATGAAGAAGAAGGCAGCCATGGACGTGGGAGCTTCGAAGAAGATGCAGAAGGGCAGCCATGGGAGCTGGAGATGGAGGGGTCATTTTAGGACGAGGGGTGAAGCAGCAGATGGTCGTTTGAGACAATGGGGACGATGGGGACGAAGAAGATGCAGAAGGGCAGCCATGGAGGTGAGGGGGGAAGGGGGGTGGTTTGGAGAAGATGAAGAGGAGAGGGGGGCGAGTGGTTTTAGGGTTTTTTGTAGGTTAGGGTTTTTTTAGAAAAATGAAAATGAAAAATGGAAGGAGGGGGGTGTTTGGGTTAGGGGAGGACCGGGTCGGGGGTTTTTGGGTTGGATAAGGGGTTTTTTGGTTTGGGCCTGGTTGATTTAATTTAAAAGGTGGCCCAGTCCGATTTTCTTCTTATTTCCATTGCTTCTTTTTCTTCTTTTATTTTTCTTTAAATAAAACTAAAATTCTAAAAATCCTAAATTAGCCTATAGAACTAAATTAATTTATAAAAGTGCTAATTAACTCTTAATAACAATTAACACACAATTAAATAGCAATTACGATAAAATTACATAATTTGGACATTAAATGCTAAAAATGTTACGTACATTATTTTTATGATTTTTTTGTTCTTGTAAAACAAACTTAATTGCTCCTAATTGTAGAATTAAATCCTAAATGCAAATGCGACATATTTTGTATTTTTTATTAATCTAATAAATAAACATGCACAGACAAATACAAATAATTATCCAAAAATGCCACGAAAATTCTCAAAATTGTGCACAAAGAAAAATTGTTTTATTTTGAATTTTTAGGAGTAATTCTCACATAGGGCAAAAATCACGTGCTCACACTTGTAACAGCTGTATAAATACTGGAATTCCGTAACTGATGAGTTAATTCTATAACTGATGAGTTAATTCCGTAATTAATGAGTCAATCTCGTGCCTGTTGAGTCAATCCGTGCCTGTTGAGTCAATCCGTGCATGTTGAGTCAATCCCGTGCCTGTTGAGTCAATCTCGTAATTGATTGCCTTGTTCTGACCGTTACAATCATTTATTGCATTTATTAATAATTGATTTGTAACTGATGGTGTAATGGTGGTAAATCTCATATAATTCGGGATTAATTTATTCCTTCCTCATTTGTAATTATGAGATATTCTCCCACGCCTGATCTGGGCTATTTCATGATGATCAGTTCTGGGGCTAACATGCACGGTATGAGTATGTTCGGTCCCGGAGGTGTTTCTCATATCACCTTTACATGTCATTCTTCACTTTTCTTCAAACTTTACAAACATGTGTCGCCATTTAATAGACCCACATAGCGAGTCTAATTTTTACTAATACATAATGATATTGTGCTAATTGACGAAATTAGCGAAGGTGTCAACCAAAAGCTTGAGCTATCGAGGAACACCTTAGGCAGTAAGGGTTTTAAGATAAGTAGAAGTAAGACTGATTACATGCACTGCAAATTCAATCAGCATGATAAGGGCGAAGTTAAGGTTAGACTAGATGAAATTGTGATGCCAAAATGCAAACATTTTTAGATATTTAGGCTCGTTGTTTCAAGAGAATGGAATGATAGATGAAGTTGTTACTCGTAATAAAGCTATATGGTTGAAATGGAGAAGCTATTATCCGGGTGTAATGTGATAGAAAGATGCCTATCTATGTGTATTATAATAATAATAATAATAATAATAATAATAATAATAATAATAATAATAATAATAATAATAATAATAATAATAATAATAATTTAGCTCCAAGCTATTGTTCGTGATAACATGCCAAATGCCATAAGCAATTTCCTACTTTCCCTTTTCCACACTTTCATGCTCATATTTACTACTTACTCTCTTTTTTTATCCAATTTATGAAAAATGAGAAACTTTACTTTCTTGGCGTGAGGTTTTGTGCAGATATAGCATTATAGTATAGAGTAAAAATAGCGCGGGCTAGCCAGTTTTCGAACTGGTCATTCAAAAATAGTCAGCGTTTGCAAAGTCATTGAAAAATAGCCACTATTTTGCTACAACATGGAAAGTTCCAGCATAATATATTGTAGATCGGTGCACATATGTATGAATTTCCAGCATATTATGCTGGAACTCCAACACGCGGAAAGTTGGACCAGTATATTATACTGGAACTCCAGTATATTATACTGGAGTATTTTTCCGGAATTTGAACAATGTTTTCTTTCAAATTTATCTTTACATGAAAAATGGTTAAATTTTGATTACTTTTGAAGTTGTGGTTAGTTTTGAATGACCACTTGTAAATCTAATTATTTTTGAAATTCTCCCCACAGTAGACCCTTTTGTAATGGTTTATGGGGTATAGTAGTATAATTTTCGTTGGTTTTAGGATTCTGTTACTTTAATATCCAAACTGCTGTGGGTTTTCGTCTTTGGAAAGAATTAAGCCCCACCATTGAACAATACGTTTAATTAGCAGTAATCACAATTCACAAGTTCAAAACTTCATAAGTGATAGAAACATTTTTCATTAATGAGGATAAATACAACTAAATTAGCTTCATTATCTTGTACTCTAATTTTCTACTCTCCCGTTTCATTTTATATGCGGTGTGTAGCGTAAATCCTTTTGTGCGAGCAGTTTATTCACTAAATAAAAGAAGGAAAACTTATATACTAAAACCTTAAAACAAAATAAATTAAGATTAATTACTCTTCCCACGAAGATGTTATACAAAATCTAAGAAGGCCGACAAAAGAAATTAAAACAAAAGGAGGAAATTTAATGACCGTATTTTTAATTTAACTAGCTAATTAACTAGCATTCATACAAGTAATCATCCTTAAAGATTTTTAACGATATAAACGATGAAATCATTGTGCATACAAATCCACCGAGACAAAAGCTAGCAGCTACGTTTTCTTTGTTTAGAAAATCAACGGTGATCATTGCACGATTAGGCAAATAATTCAAATCCACCGTTAAACCAAACCCTGCGGCTGCACCCGTACCCACTATCATCGACATTATCTGCTTATAATCAAGAAAAAATATTTACACAATTATCAAGATAAATACGAGTAAATTCTTGTGACAAACATTGTTGGGAAAAAAAGAGAGAAGGCTTTTGGGCCTAGTAGACACTCATAAGAGTACAGAAATGACACCGGGTAGCCACTCTAAAGTATAATTATTTAAAAATTAGCCAGTGCATTCTGAATTACATTAATATTTTGAATTATTTTGAAATTAAGATTTTTAATTTAAAATTTCAGGACAAAATGAGTACTGGCTAATCACTAAATAGCATTCCGAGAATGGTTATCTGTGTACTTGCCCCCATAAGGAGTGCTAGCGAATTAGGCCCATTAGTTAGCTTAACCCTAGCCGCTCACCCAACCACTTAAATTAAAAATAGTCGATGATATAATATATCCATAGTTTATGTATTATATGTGTATAGTTGTATATAATCAATATATAACCTATGTATATGACTAGAAAAAATAAACAATAAATATTGCCGGTATTTGTATAAAGATCCTAAACTCAAATGTAGTCTATATAAACACCATTATGGGTGTTGGAAGACTACAGAAGAAATTGGTGAATCAGCTAGGGTTGGGTATTATTATTTTTGTTCTTAAATTGAGGGTAATTAGACTGTGAAAATAAGGGAGTTCGTCCGGTAAGTAGTGAGATTTTCAATGACCAATAATCCAAGTCGTGTTGCTACGGACGATTCGCTTCTGCTTTCGAGAACTACAGCAAGACTCCTAATTAAACTAACATTTCATAAAATTATTACAAACATTAATTCATACCCTGATAAAAATAATAACTAATTACAACATATTTTAATAGATTAAACTACACGATGACATACCTTATCAGCATATACGTCAAAGTGAATGAGTTTATCACAGACGCAATCTCCAGTCTTCACTTGGATTATTGCAAATGCTGTTTGTAGGAGAGAATACACAAATCCAGCAGCAGCACAAGCAAGCATGTAACTGAAAACCCCATCGTTTTACACCACCAAGTATATTGAATATATGTTAAGCATTCAAATAATATGCACCATCAAATCTTATATCATCACAATTCAATTTAACAAACTAATTAGCAAAAGTTATTACTCGATTTTTAGATAATTATTATGTCAGACTTGTTGTAAAGAGTTATATGTATGTTCTTGTTGGTCAACTTAAACTAGTCGGATAAATAAGTTATATATTGTCAATACATAAAAAACTCGTACTAAAATTAACAAATCCGTAGGGATTATTATAAGCAATAGTTATATATATTAAGTCGGCATTTGGACATTAAAATTGTACTTTTTTGGAAGAAAAAAAAATAGTATTTGGGGTTAAGTTGAAAAATGGTATTTGAAATTATGTTTGGACATGCATTTTACTTGAAAAAATATTACAGTTTTGCGAGAGGGGAGAACAGTTTTTCTGGAAAAAACAACTTACAAAATTTTATAGACAAACATATTTTTGAAGAAAAGGAAAAAATTTGATGGACAAACGGGGCCTATGTACTCCCGAAAAAGCGTTAGCTTTTCTTGAGCCAAGAGTAACATTATCTCTACCTTCACAAGGTAAGGGTAAGGTCGGGATATACATTACGCTCTCCAGACCCCGACACTGTAAAAATACATGGGATATATTGTTGTTGTCCCTAAAAAGTTCTAACTTTTCGATGAAATTGACTCGCCGGAAACGCCTCCGACAGACTTTCCACCGGAAATCTCTTTGCGATGAGCCAATCTCCGACGGGACATTTGTTGAAAATTTCGTTTTTTTAAAGTAAAGCATGCGTGAATGAAAGATGCAATAAATTCCTATATATATTTAGGTAAAAGTAAAACACTTACCGATAAGCATAGAAATCAGAAAAGCCAAATTTGACTTCAACATCTTTGTGAAATAAGGAAGAAACAGTCATATCAGAGGAAGCAGTGGTGAGGATTGTGATAGATGTTGCCAAGCTACAAAGTGAAAGAATTCTTGACAATAGATTCACAATTACTAAGCAACCCATTTTTTCTCTCTAAGTTTCGAGAAAATTAATTATATATAGCCATAATTTGCTATAAACTTTAATTTCTCTTATAATAATTAAGGAATTATTCGAATCTTTATTATTGTCTCATTGTCAAAGGTTGCTCTAATGGTAAGCAATCTCCACTTCCAACCAAGAGGTTGTGAGTTGAGCAAGGTGGGAAGTTCTTGGATGGAAGGATGTCGAGGATCTATTTGGAAACAGCCTCTCTACCCAAGGATAGGGGTAAGGTCTGCGTACACACTACATTCCCCAGATCCCAAAGTGGGATTATACTGGGTTATTGTTGTTGTTGTCAAAGGTTGACATATACTTGCCTACTTGTAAATTAATCTCCCCATACCTACCACGCATGTCTTGGCAGGGCGGATACGGCCTTTCGACTGCAGGCTTAATGAGTCCATTACTCAAATGGTCACTCAATTATTCCAAAATATCTCTTAAAGTCATTTTTCTTTCGTTTATAACAACAAAGTCACTGAACTATATGCTTATTGCACTCAAAAAATCACTCAACTAGATTTCCAAATTTTAGATTGTCAGATACTTATTTTACCCTCTAAATTATAAACATTTATCTTCTTTTAATTTTTTTAAACTTTTTAATATTAGACCATCTCCAACCCAACGCTATTTTTGACGTCAAATGCTATTTTGGTGTAAGATTTGGTGTTTTGGTGCTCCAACCCAATATCATTTCTTACACCATTTTGGTGTGTGAATAGTGTTACACCAATACTATTCATCAACACCATTACTATTCATCAATATTTTATTATTATATTTTATTATATAACACTTTTAGTTTAACATATTATAAATTTGTAATTACTTATACTTTTTATGTAATATTTTTATAATATTAATTTTACATTTTAATTTTGGTGTATAGTTTTTATAAATTAATTTTCTTATATTTTATTTTTATATAACAAATCTTAACAGCCTCCCGGACTTCATATTCATCACTTTTGAAAGTGAGGAGAAGAGATCTCTTTTCTGCAACGAAAAAAAAAACGGAGCAGATTTGCCCTTTTTTTACTAGTAAGGACGCAGGAAGCAAAAAACTTGCGCGAAGGACTTTTTCTTCTCTTCCCTCTCCTTTTGGCTAAACCACCACTTCAGGCTAACCCTTTTGCCTGGCTGGCACTTACTCAAGATAATATGTTGTTAATAAATAACACAATATTCATTAAATAACATAAAAATAAATATTTAATACAGTAGCGTCTGACATAGATTTTAACTGAAAATACATTAAATAACATAATGGGATGAGAAAATTACAACAATAATCTAGTACTCTGGTATATATCCAAAATGGTCTACTATTGTGCAAACTATTCATGAGCCACTTTCTCAAAAGAAGAAATATTTCGTGATGAAACAAGAATTATGTCGAAAAGATGTTGTACGTGCATTCGGAGTTTTGCGATCTCGTTTTGCAATTATTGCAGGGTCTTCACGTTTTTTGAGAAAAGAAGTGCTACATGATATATTAACATGTATAATGTATAATATTTGCATATAATTTATATTAATTAAAAATTTATGGTATAAAATAATTTTTTATTAAATGATTATATAAAAAAGAAATATGAATTATATGGGATGAATATGTAAAAAGAAAAAAGAAAGAATTTGTTTTATGAAATAAAAAATAATATAATATAGAAGAGAGAGAAGAATATAAAAGTAATATTCATTTTTGGTGTAAAAAATAATGTAATGGGTTGCAGTTAATTTGCACCATTTTGGTGTGTACACCATTTTAGTGTTAAAAAATGGTGCAAGGGTTGGAGACGCCCTTATGATTTTCCCCTTTTTAATTTATATTATGGACTTACCTATAGAACAAATAAATATTATTTATAAATTAAAAAGATAAAAATTATTTAAGCATATATAATGCTGGAATAACAAAATAATGAGCATAGTAAAAAAATTTATTAGAATAATTTGTTAGTAATAATAATTTTAGTATTAACAACAAAAATTCAAAAATTAGATTACACAATTCAGAATGAATGAAAATAAAGGTTGTAATATATATATATATTACATGCATGTAATATAAAAATAATTATTTAAATAAAGGTATTTTTATACTATACATTATATATTTTTAAAAATTATGCTCAATTATATTATATATATTCCATGCTCGACTTAACATAACATATTTCACCCTATACAGATAGTCCCCCTACTTTCCAGTGACATAACTTTGTGTCGTCGGAAAGTTGGTAGAAACATAATAATATAATTGAGCATAATTTTCAAGAATATGTAATGTATATTATAAAAATACCTTTATTTAAATAATTTTTTTATATTACGTGCATGGAATATATATTTTACAATCTTTATTTTCTTTTGTTCTGAATTGTGTAAATAAATTTTTGAATATTTGTTGGTAATACTAAAAAGTTTTTAAAAAATAAAAAGAAGATAAATATTTATAATTTAGAGGATAAAATAGGTATTTGGCAATCTAAAGTTTGAAAAATCTAGTTGAGTGACCTTGTGAGTGTAATAGACATAGTTCGGTGACTTTGTTGTTACAAACGAAAGAAAAGTGAATTTAGGAGATAATTTGGGATAGTTAAGCGATCATTTAAGTAATTGATTCCGGGTTTAATTGAATCTATAACTTTCAACACGGAATTATGAATTAATTATATGTAAAACTAGCTAGAATTTTAACAAGTATTAGATTTGAATCAATAATTTTAACAGTACAATAAGTTTAATGCTAAAAATTTTAAAAGCTGAACCCATTAAATTTAAATTCTGAATTCGGTTCTGTGTCTTGTGGGACGACTTTGCATGGAATGGAACGTCTATTTTTTTTTTTTTTTGGGTTAATTCTCAGATATAAATTTAGAATTAGGGATGAATTTAGTGTATAACTTATGGCTTCATTTGAACCCAAGATTTTGCCGATATACAACAACAACGATTCAGTAAAATTCTACTAGTGGGGTCTGGGGATGGTAGTGTGTACGCAGACCTTATCCTTGCTCCAAGGGAATAGAAAAGTTGTTTTATTAAATTTATTAAATAAATACAAATAAATAGATTTGTATCGAATAAGACGTGATAGAATTTGTTACGAATATTTATATTGTTAAAACATTAGCTTTATAAAATGGAGATTCTCAGTAAAGAAACGAAAAGGTCAGCAATATTGAATATTTCTGTTATTCGCAGTACCATATAATCTTCAAATTATATTCTCTTTGGTTGTCAAGAATCGATTGACATTAGAAAATATAAGAGACAGATAGATGAGAGAAGAGATGGTCGAGACGTGCTCAACTGACCAAATAATTAAGTTTATTACGTATATTATTTTTTCCGCAGCTTGTGGTATAAAATGTGTAAAAATTACACGGGCGCTCTAGTTGGTCGCTCTCATTTAACCTATACTTATATTTTTAAAATTCTTTAACCTATATCCTAATTTTGACAACCTCATGCGCCTCCTCTTCTTCCTCCTAACCTATGCGCTCCTTTCTTCCTCCTCTTCTTTTCCTCTTTTTTTCTCTCTCAATGTCTCAAACATATGGCACTCGCATTACATGGAACACAAGCATAGTATATCCAAAGCATGGAACTAAAGAGCACAACCACGTACGGAATTGATATTGATAGCCTTCTGTTGATTTCTTCTTGTATATTAATGTTTAGCTTAAAATATATATATTTATATGTATATCGCCTCATGTTTTACTTTTGTTTCGTGGATTTACGATGTAAAATGTGTTGATTTATATTAATTTGAGGTGTTTTTATGTGTAGGAATGATCCGGGAGCAATTGGGGGCGAAATGTGCGAAATTAGAGCCAAAACAGATGAAAACAGGAAAATTGGAATTTGCAGCGCCTAGCCCTACCTGTGGCGCTAGAAACAGAAACTCCAAATTGGGAGCGCCATGGAGGGCGCCTGACACTAGGCAGGGCGTCGGTGGCGTGAAACTTGTCCAAATTCGCCCGGGACAAGGTTATTTCGGCCCAAGACCCCTCTAACTCGTATAAAGGAGTTCTAAACCTATTTTGGGAGATATCTAACATATTTTGAAGGAGATCTAACATACATTGAAGGAGAATTCACGTGGGGGAACACAACCCACGCTTGGAGGAGGCCTCTAACTAGTTTTTCTTCTCTTCTCTTCCTTTAATTTCATAGTTTATTAGTTCTAGAGTTTTGGGTGCTACATGAACGTTGTAGTTTGAAGCTTGAATTGTTCTTATTATTTTATCATATTGATTTATTTATTCAATCTTGCGCTTAATTATTTGATTGATTGATCATTAATTGAATACTATCTACGAATCTAGGATTGAACTTGGGAGAGGAAATTCTAGATTGCATATAAGATTGAGTAGAGCAAGATCTTAACTCTGGGGGGGAGAGGGGCTGTCACGACCCAAAATCCCACCATAAGTGTTGTGATGGCACTTAGTCTCTAAGACTAAGTAAGTCGTTTATAATAACAATTCAAGCCATTTTTTTAAAAGGATAATCGAAACCAACAACGGAAATAAAGATACAACCTCCCAAGACTGGTAGTACTGAGTCACGAACTCTAACTTAATACATAAAATGATCTGAAGGAAATTAAATATAAATTACTGCTCGAATAATAGTACGATAAGAGGAAAAGACTCCAAGGGACTGCGACAACCAAACAGCCCTACCTTGAATCCTTGCGATCATACTCTAACTCTGTCCTAGTCCTATATCTCCAATACCTGGCTCTGTACAAAAAAAATATACAGAAGTGTAGTATGAGTACACCACAGTGGTACCCAGTAAGTATCAAAACTAACCTCGGTGGAGTAGTGACGAGGTACAGTCAGGACACTCACTAATCAATAACTTGTGTAGTGTATAATAATAATAATAATAATAATAATAATAATAATAATAATAATAATAATAATAATAATAATAATAATAATAATAATAGAATACCTGTAGTACTTCTCTCTCTCTCTCATAAGCGCACGATAGAGTGCTTCTAGCGTGCGCTTCCTGCCGGAAATGGCCAGGGGAAAGCAGCGGAAGGCAGTAAACAAATTTAACTATCAGATTGGAAAACGAAGAAGATCAATCGAAGGCCTACATCAGAGGAAATTGACGAAGTTGAGCCCGAGGAAACTAGGGTTCCTAATATGAAATTTTCGAGCCCAGATGCGATGAGGACACCACCGATTAGCACCAATCTTTGTTTGGAGAAGCAGGTTTCAGTGACAAATACTAAGAACAATACATCAATGAATGTTGGGTAGACAAATGTGAAGAGTCAGGGGGTGGACCGGATGAAGGGCGATATGCAGAGTTTGGATAAGCAAATTTCAGTCCCTAATTCTACAACTACTAGTTCTATGAATCTAAGGAAGAGCAATGAGAAGGAACAGGAGGCCCGTCAATTTAATGAGAATACAGGTGCTAATCAAAAACTGGTGATGCAAACTACAGAGGAAAAGGAGCAAAAGTGGGCAAATCTATTCGCCATCAATAGGTTGGCTGCTAGGGGTATGAATTTAAAATATATAGCTCCTCTTATTGAGGATGGCGAAAAGATTGTACAATTGAGGAAGGAAGATGTGGATAAGGAGACGGAGTAGTGGAAGACATCAGTGATCCTTTATATGATGGGAGACTCTCCTACTATAGGAGCTTTAGAAAGATTCATCAAATCTCAATGGAATTTTGTGGCAAAACCTAAGATCTACTACCACAACGAGGGCTACTTTGTTATCAAATTCAACACAATGGAAGATAGGAATGAGGTAATTTTTTCTGGACCACACACTTTAAACAATAGACCAATAATAATCAAGGTTTGGGAGGCTAATTTTGATTTTAATGATGAAATTCTGAGTACAATACCATTGTGGGTCAAGTTCCCAAACTTACCTCTAAACTGTTGGTGCATGGAGTCGCTTAGTCGAATCAGTAGTGTATTAGGAATCTTATATATGCTGACGAGTGTACTTCTAAGATAGAGTGAATTTCTTTTGCTAGAGTTTTGATTGAGATGGATGTGACCAAGCCTCTCCCTCAATCTATCAAAGTGAAGGATCCAAGCGGGGAAGTCTTTGATCTGGAAATTTGGTACGATTGGCAGCCTGATTACTGCAATAAATGTTTACAAATTGGACATGTATGTCCTAATGAAACCATTCAGAAAATGCACACAAAGCAGGAGAGGGAAGAACCTAAGAAACAGATATGAGTGTGGCATGTTAAAGATAACAATCAGGTTGTACCTCAAAGGGTTGTTGACAATACAACAAAGGTGACACAAAAAGATAAAGAAGCATTACTTACAGTGAAGACAATAGAGCAAGAAAATAATTGGCAGATGGCAGTGGGCAAGAATACAACAAAGCATGATCAAAGTCCAAATATTGGGCAAGAGCTGCTTAAGGTTACTAATGGATTTAGTACATTAACGGAAAAAGGGTGTCCTATGCAGAATGATCCTGGAAACACAAAGGATAGAGGACAAAGTAGCCAGAGTGGAGGAGTGAAGAGTCCTGCACCACCTCCTATTTCTAAATGAGTTTGATCACTTGGAATATCAGGGGCTTGAATAAGTTGTACAAACAAAAGGAAATTAAAGTGTTTATACATAGTAATAGAGTAAAAATAATAGCTATGGTGGAGCATAGAGTGATGGAGCAGAATGCAGAGAAAATAATAAAGAAGATAGTTCCTAGTTGGAGATGGCATGCCAATTATAATTCAGATAGAGGGAGGATCTAGATTCTATGGGATCATAATGCTATAGATTATACCCCTATCAAAGTGGCAAATCAATATGTCTATGGACAAGTTAAATATCAGACTACTGACTTCTACTTCACTGCAATCTATGGACTGCACAGTGTGGGTGACAGAAGGAATTTGTGGATAGATCTGAAAGAACTAGAAAATTCACAGCAAGGAATGTGTCTTTTAATGGGTGATTATAATGCAGTAATTCATGTGGATGACAGACTAAATGGTGCAGAGATTCAAGAACAGGAAACTAGAGATTTTATTGATTTTTTATTTGAAACAGGATTGACTGAACTGAAGACGGTGGGAAGAAAATACACATGGACCAACAACCACATATACAGCAAAATTGATAGAGCAGTGGTAAAGGGGGATTGGATGATAAGACTACCTCATTTAGAAGTGATAGTACTTGATCATGGGTTCTCAAACCACTCTCCCTTAAGTACTACCTTTGATAATCATCCAGGAAGAAGAGCTAGACCTTTTAAATTTTTGAACCATTTAACTGAACATCAAGAATTTCTGGATAAGGTAGCAAAAGGTTGGAGGGAACCAGTGAGCGGGGTTTTTTTGAAAAGCATATGGCAAAAGCTAAAAAATGTGAAGACTGAAATGAAACTTCTTAATAAGGAAGAGTATAATGCAGCAGATATGAGGATCAGTACCATCAGAAGCAACTTACAAGAGGCTCAAGAACAAATGAGACTTCCTGGGCATGACCCTGCTTTGTTTGATAAGGAAAAATCACTAAAGATCGATTTAGAGAAATGGGTGAAAATTGACGAGATGATAGCTCGGCAGAAGTCAAGGATGAAATGGTTAAAGCTTGGGGACTCTAATGGTGCCTATTTTTTTTGCTTGTATGAAAAACAGAAGTGTTATTAATTAGATCAAAACATTAGTAACAGTAAATGGAGTAATGTTACAAGCAGAAGATGATATCAAGGAGGAGGTCCTGAAATTTTTCAAACAGCTTCTTTGCAAAGCAGCACCCCAATTGCTTGCAGTAAAACTCTCAGTTTTTTCAAATGGTCCTAAATTGAATAGAAGCCAACAACTCCAACTGATTAATCCTATCACAAGAGAGGAAGTTTACGTGGCTGTTAAGGACATTAATGATATGAAAGCACCAGGAGTGGATGGTTTCAATATATATTTTTTCAAAAAAGCTTGGCCTGTGATTGGTAATGAGGTAGTAGATGCTATACTTAATTTTTTTGAGACTGGAGTTATGTACAAACCAGTTAATTGTACTTCTATTACTTTAATACCAAAAGTCAAGAACCCTTTTTCAGTAAAGTAATACAGGCCAATCTCCTGTTGTTCGGTGATATATAAGATTGTGTTGAAAATTCTTACAAAGAGAATGCAAAAGGTGATGGATACTTTGGTGGATAGAAGTCAGTCAGCTTTTGTTCCTGGGAGACTAATCAGTGATAACATAATCCTTAGCCATGAACTGGTGAAAGGATATGGTAGGAAGGGTATATCTCCAAGATGTATGCTGAAAGTGGACATGCAAAAGGCATATGACTCTGTAGAGTGGATATTCATAGAACAAGTTTTGGTTGGACTGAACTTTCCTACTCAATTTATTCAGTGGATCATGCAATGCTTGAAAACTGTATCCTACTCTATTCTTATCAATGGGCACCCAACAGAGCCTCTTAACTCAAAGAAAGGGTTAAGGCAGGGGGACCCAATATCCCCATTTCTGTTTGTTCTAGTGATGGAATATTTCAGTAGAGTGCTAAAGAGTCTGGGGAATGAAGCTGACTTTAACTATCATCCAAAGTGTGAGAAGATGAACGTTACATAACTGGGATTTGCTGATGATTTACTACTATTTTGCAAGGGCGGTGTGAAGTCTATTCAAATGCTATTTGATTGTTTCCATGAGTTCTCAACAACTTCTGGACTAAGTGCTAATAGAGACAAAAGCTCCATTTATTTTGGAGGTGTAGATGCAACAGTTCAACAGCAAATCATAAAGTTAACTGGATTCACTAAAGGAGAGTTACCAATAAGATATCTTGGTGTTCCCTTGAGCACCAAGAGGCTCTCAGAGCTTCAATGCCAACTTTTGCTGGAAAAGATGATGGGAAGAATTCAAAGTTGGACAGCGAAATTCCTCTCTTATGCAGGAAGAGTCCAGCTGATAAAGAATGTTCTCTTTTCGGTCCAAGTATTTTGGTCGCAGATATTTGTATTGCCTGCAAAGGTAGTTGAGCTAATTGAGATAACATGTAGAAAATTCTTATGGACCGGAGGAGTTGAACTATCAAAGATGGCTTTTCTTGCATGGGATAGAGTTTGCTATCCTCAGGTAGCAGGAGGTATGAATATCCTTGATATTTGCAGCTGGAACAAAGCTGTCATATGCAAACTATTATGGAATTTATGTAGCAAGAAGGATAGCCTATGGGTCAAGTGGGTACATAACTATTATATAAAGGAAAGGAAAGTATGGGAGGTTGCACCAAAATAAACATCCTGGGTAGTGCAAAAAATTTTAAAAGCCAAAACCTATGTTGAACTAGCAGGAATAAATGGTAATGAGTTTCAATCACTGTCAAACTTCTCTATTAGGAAGTTGTACACTAAAATGAGAGGTGTTTTTACTAAGGTTTCATGGAGGAAGTTAGTGTGTAATAACTTAGGAGCTCCCAAATGGATATTCATATTAAGACTTGTGGCACATGGAAAATTGCTTACTAGAGATAGACTAATACAATGGGGAATGGAGGTTCCATTGGCTTGTCCACTCTGTAATACTGGGAACGAAAGTATTTAACACTTGTTCTTTCAATGTGATATGTCTTCCTATATCTGGAAAAAGGTCCTAGCTTGGCAAGGGATAAGCAGAATGGTAATGGATTGGCAAAAGGAACTAAAGTGGGCTAAAGTTTATGCAAGAGGAAGAAGAGTCAAGGCAGAGATATACAGAATGACACTTGCAGCGAGTGTGTACTACATTTGGAAAGAAAGAAACCAACGGGTATTCCAAGGTATGCAGTCAGATCCGAAGCATATTATGAAACAGATTATCCAAGAGATATGTTGTAGAGGAACAATGCATGCAAGATTATCTAGGAAACTTGATCAATTAAATTTCTATCCTTAACTTTGTGGTTGTAGTAGTTAGTCATGGTGTAGTTGTGAGATGATATGGTGGGATTTGTAGATCATGATGTTGGGGCATCATGTCCAACAACCAGTTTGTTTCTTTTTTCTTGTGTACATATTTTCGATTGATAAAAAAATTTATTTACCAATAATAATAATGAATAATAAAAACAAATAACAATGATGACAACGAGAATCAATCAATGATATAAACAACAAGGCAATAAGAACACCAATAATATTGCTCAAACGAATAAGGAACACAAATAAAACAAATCAATCAAGTCCCTCAAATATATGTCTTTCAAATGCAAGTACTTCAATAAAATCCTGAGGATATAATCCTGCCAAATAAATATATATTTCGAATATACTCTCTTAACTAAATAGCTTTCAACAAAAATTCTTTCAAATAATATTTTTTGAATATAATTCCTTCAAATAAATGTCACCATGTGACACCTCACTTCATAATCATACAATACGGGTCTCGACCCACTTTCATATTTCCACGGCACCTCGTGCCCATATTTCTTTCATAACTGTACAGACAACTCATGTGCCAAAAATATCAATATATATATATATATATATATATATCTGCACGATCAATTTATTTTAGAAATAGTTTTAGTGAAGAAAATGACATTGTACTTAAATTAAATCATAAGATAAAATACTGATTTGGATGTAAAAATTATTAAATTAAAATATAATGATAATTTCTTCAAAAATCAGTAAAACCAAAAATATAAATCTTCAAAGTCTCGTACTAAAAAAGTCAAGCCAACACAATGCAATAAGAAGCGCAACACACATAATCATAAAGTCAACTAGTACATCACGGAAGAATACAAGAATTTACATATTAATGAAATAAAATCACCAAGGACAAGAACATAAATAAAGAAATATCAATGGGGCACTCCCGAGGTACCGTCTCGTAGTCCCAAATCATAAATAAACTCACAATATCTCATTTTCTTATATTACCGTGGGAGCCTTCACATATAATTTTAAAGAAAATATTTTTCCCCGAAATAGCATCCCGCGTTTTAGTCACCCTTATCACACTGCATGACTTCTAGTAGTTTCCCTACTAGCCACACGTTTCAAGTCACCCTTATCTCACCGCATGTGTTTCAACACCATGGTCTTATATCACCGCATGCGTATCAATATCACAATATTTCACAAATCGCACCTCAAGTGCCCAAATATCACACCATAATACAACTTGCACCTCAAATGCCCAATTATCGCAGCATAATACAACTTGCACCTCAAGTGATCACATATCAAAACATATCACAAATTGCATATCAAATGCTCAAATATTACAACATATTACAAATTTCACATCCAATTCTCAAATCTTACAACATATCACAAATCTCACGTCAAGTGCTCAAATATTACAACATATCACAAATTGCACATCAAGTGCCCAAATATTACAACTTGTCACATAAATCAACAATACATTATTTTTCCACAATAAGAAGCCCACGGCTCGGTCATAATGTGCACAAAAATTCTAACAAAATATCTGGGAGTGAAAACTCAACAATATAATATTTCACAATTTAACACTTCGCCTCAATATGATTTACAGCCTTTATAACTCAATATCAATTTCAACAACATGAACTGAAAAGAAATTCATCAAGGGACAACACTTTTTTTTAATTCACAACTTCATGAAATAAATAGATTTATTCATCTTATTAACTAAATTTCTCATTTAAATTGTATGTAGATAAAATCAATAATGAATTTTTTTCCATAAAAATAGCAACTCAAACAAACATAGAGTTCACATAAAAGTCAAGTAGCAATCACACCAAATTATCATATAAAAATAATATAGACAAATAAGGAATGAGACATGACAAATAAGAGATTTAATAAGTCCCAACAATTTTCCAATTTAATACATAAGGTTGTCTACGAATTTTAACCGATATAATTTGCACATATAAACCAAGTACGTACTCGTCACCTCGCGTACATGATTTTCAATCACACAATTTCCACATAAGACTCAATGC